TTTCGCTGAGTTTGGAAAGTCGCGTATATTGTGCCACCGTTCGGCCAGTTCTGCTTTCTTTATTACACACGTGTGTGATGAACAACAGTCGGGGTGAACCCCATGGTCACGAAGACTTACTGCTCAGTGATGGTAACCGGTAACCTAAGCCCCGGGGCCTGGAGTGGTGAACCACATAAGATCCCGCTAGCCCAGGCGTGGTATAGAACCGAGCGACAGCAAAGCTACCCACTACCAAGGTTGGATGGCGGTGGCGGTGGCGGTGCTCGAACCTCGGACCATAGCGTCCAAAGCACGCCTGTGACAGCGACTGAAACACTGCGCCACCACCGGTTGTGACTTTGCGAATAGAGGATATCTACCGGATGGATGTTCTTNCTTAATATTAATTGCCAGCATAGTGTGGCCCAGGTAGAATTGAGTGAGCGGGTTAGTAACCTGGAGGTAAACTGTGTTGTGTTTAGCAATATATTAAGCCTTTGCATCGAATTCGGTTCACCGGCTAGGGTACGTTTTGCGTATTTCTAGTGGTCGTCTACCCCACCGCTCCCTATTCGCAGTTTCTTCTCCGGGCTGGAGAAAATATGTTCATGGTTCACACGTCTGAGTCCAAACGGTGCTCCAAACCAGTCATAGTACATTGAGTTTTATGAAACTTCTATAATTTGCTCGTGGATGTAATACTACCATGTCCCCCCAGCCAAAATAGATGAATTTTCTTGGAGACTTCGACTAACTAAAGCCTGACCTGCAGGGCAGTGGGATGGGGTTTGAAAATTGCATTTCATTGGGGGTCGGTATCTAGTTTATTGAATCATACGCCCTATAGACGGGGTCATATGTCCAAGGAACCCGATATACCACGATGACCAGTCGAATCGGTAACCACTGCCACAGCCAAAGGAAGTGTGGGTATGTGTAGTGCCTACGCTTCTCCTTGGTTGTTTTAGGATGAGGGTCTAAGCCGACTCTCCAAAGTTAACTTCCAGTCGTTCACCGACCCCATTATAACCCCAGATGCTAGATTTTCTTCCTCTCACTTCGGAGAAAAAACATCGTCACGGAACGCAGTGATTAGGGCTTCCTCGGCAAATGCTATTTGAGACGCTTGGTCGTATGGTATCATTTCGTGAGGGGCGGGGGAAGGGTGACCAGTCACAAGCCAAGATACCCACCCCCGACCATACTGAAACTTTTGAAGATGTGACCAAGGTGATATGCACACCATTCATATGATGAACTGCGCAGGAAAATCATAGTATTAGAATAAATCCCCATCTCGAAAATGAAGTGGTTATGGACACATCGTTACCATTATTTAGTTTTCGTTGAAATCCAAGTGACTGGCCTAAAACCGTCATAGTGACGTCAGTGTTGGTAATGACCTTTTGGTTCCGCAACGCCATAGTTTATTCTCAGTTAACTCCACGGGAATTCTTTCGAACCTAAAATCCGGAGATGGTTATGGTAGCCCTCACCTTTGCTCGCCCCTTGTACAATGACGTAACTGGGTCGCGTCACGTTCCACTAAAGTTATAAGGGGTTTTACATTGTACAAACCAGAGCTGAACCATAGTACAGTGAGTTCTGCGATATGCCCTTGACGTTCTCAGTCTCTGACATGTCTCTGCCATCCTTATCGGTCTGATTCTATTAGCTCGCTGATTCGTCCAGGCGGTATCAGTACCTGACATTTACTAACCGATGGGAGCTTCTACCTATCTGGTGGGTTCAGTTTTCCATGACAGAGTAGCACGTGACGCTTCAACGTGTCTTCCGTTCAGTTGTTTTTGTCTTTTGTTCACTTGATGAGCTGTTTCTTCCAGCTGCCTACACTCATGAATACAATATAAGGATTTGCTTCCAACGAATTTTCCAAACTGTCTGTTAGCAGTGTGTGCCATCCCCGATCGTAGTTCAATCTGTCTACCTGTTATTCCTTCTCTCCCTTTGTTCATTTAAAGAAATTTCGTGAAGGGAAATATCGTACATTAATCACTACCAACGTGGCCGCTCGAGGACTAGATATTCAGGAGGTCGATCTTGTGGTTCAGTGTCACCCTCCTCGTGATGTGGAAGACTATATTCACCGGTCTGGACGAACCGGTCGAGCAGACCGAACGGGTACTTCAATCGTTTTCTACACTCCACAGGAACGCGGTTTGTTATCCGTGATCGAACGCAAAGCAGACATCGAATTCCGTCGTATCGGACCGCCTACTCTACAGGACATACTAAACAGTTGGGGGAATGAGCTGACCAAGTTAGTTTTCTAGTATTTTTTCCTAACCGACTTTTTGACATCTGTTGTTCTTTTCATTATTACCTCTTAACCTCTTCTTGTGGTTCACTGGTTATGTTTTCGGCTATGATAACTGTATTCTGGTGTTGACACCATTTTCATTGTTTCCTCGATGCTACTGACAAATATTTCGGTAGTCATTTGTCAACCGAAAAAAATATGGGTGGTTTGTGAGCAATCTACGGTACCTTGGCAAATTTATTCAGCGGTATATCATCTTCGTGGAATGTTCGCTGCTCTAAGTCATGAAGATGTTAATGATTGGCGTGGTGGTGGCGCAGTGGTTTAGCTACTGTCACCGGCGTTGTCCGAGGTTCGAACCCCGCCACCGCCCTCCAAATTTGGTGGTAGGCAGTCATGCTGTCGCCTGGATCAATGCCACGCCTGACCTAGCGGAACCTTATGTGGTTCGCCACTCCAAGTCCCGGGAATTGGGTTTTTGGTTACCATCACGGGCCATTCCGTTGTGATTAATGAACATTTGCTAGTTCAGTTCCCGTAATCTGACAGCTGCAGTGATTATGTCAAATCGCCCCACTAGGTATTCCACCTGAGAAACGAAACTGTTCCAGCGCATTTGCAATAGACAGAAACGCAGTCATGTATGCGTGTCGTGCAAAGCGCACGCGTAATTAATTCACTTGCTGAGGCGATTCCAACGATCCTTTATAAAATACCTGGATGATATACTATTTTCGCGTGTTCTTCTTCGAGTGTAACACTTTACAGCTATCACAACAGAAGAGCATACAAACTGTCTTTACCACGAGAACGAATGACATTTGCTTTCATTGTGTGGGCACATGACAAGTTGGTTGCGCTCGATCAAGGTAAATATTTGCTGTCGGGGTATTCGGGCGGTGAAGTCGACCGGGATCGGTAGTGTTCGCTTGTTGGGGGATAACTGCTCCTCTAGAGTGCTCAATGGAGGGAGGGGGCGGGGGGGGGGGGGGAGGNGGGGGGGGGTGAAGGATTAATATATTTATTAGTTTCTGCTTTGGACAGAAAAAACACTTGCTGTCCAATTCCACAAGTGTACTGGATAATCTGAGTCCTAAAATGCCTTCCTAATCCCTCCAGATGATGTCCACGAAAGGGAACAGCTCGCATATAGTTTTCCGAGGCAGATAGCTCTGAGGAAGCTGATTGGACTGTCACTTCTGTCAATAGCCCAACTGTTTTCATTCCCAGTCCGATCAATCTTTTTCTCGGTCATCTATTAGAGTGTAATTGCAAGCAGTCTAGTTTTAGTTTCACCACCAGGGGCAGTGCAACCTGAGTTTTGAGTCGGGATGGGTTGTTGTAATCGATTGTTCACGGCGGCTGATTCCTGGGACAGGATACGCCGGTTCCATGGATATCATGGATTGCAGTTGTCGGCGGTGAGCTCTGCTCAGATTGTTATCCAACCTGATTTCCATTCGCAGCTGCAGACGGAGCGAAGACCAAAGTTTTCTGCATCAAGCGTTTCGTGTCTGGCCAGATTTCCAGCTGTACACCGCGCCGACAGCGCCATTTCAGGCAAGGGGACGGTGCCAAGGCAGCTTTGGTCAGGTCATTGTCCCATTTACGAAGGATATTACCAAACTATTGTAGCGTCCGCAGCCATGCAAGAGTAAAACGCCAATTTTCCGAACGCTTCATTTAAGAACTGATTCCTCCATCGTGTCCGCAGAATGATTCTCAGGCACCAGTGATCGAAGACTTAATCGTCGACAGTTTGGACTATATTTGGCCAGGTTTTGCAGCCCTACAGCAGGACGAACTGCTGCGGAGAAAAATCGTACTTTTGCTTTAGGCTGATTTCTTTTCTACATCATAGGGGATTCCTCTGCTGCAGAAACTTCTTTTGGGCGTCTTCGACGCGCAGTTGTACCTCATCCTTAGCTTAATCTTTGAGCGGTATGATTGAACCCACGTATTTAAAACTTTCGACGGATTTGGTCAAATCTCCGTTTCGTTGTAAAGGATTTTCGGGATGAATTGGGTGTGTCGCAAACGTTTTGGTTTTGTGTGTTCACCTCTACTTAGCTCTCAGAGGATCAGAGTAACCGCGGTCGACCACTGGAGCGAGTGGTCGACCTCCATTGTATACTTTGTTTGGGCATTTCACCAAATAGGTTACCACGGCGAGCGGTGTTCGCCCAGGCAGGTAGTGGGTGGAAAAAAGCCAAGGGTGGTTAAAATAAGACCTGGCATCAGGGCATGAAATCCCTGACCAGGAGACTGTCACATAGGTCCCGTTATGCTTCCCTACCTGGGGACCTCGGGTTGATCGTAACCGGTGGTTAGAAACACTGAATGATGTGGTTGAGTATCGTACACAGTGGCGTTCGTGCATCTTCTCAATTTCTTGCAATCGTAGTTCACTGAAATTCTCCGTTTTTTGTTCGACTCTATTTTCAACTTTCCTGTCTTTCTCCCACTGTTCATCCAAATGGGCAAACAAAAGACAGTAATCAAACCCGGCTCACGAAAGTGCATGATTGATGGTTGTACAAACTGAAACTGGAAACTGCTTAGTTGCCCTACATCCTCGTTTAGCAAATCTTGAGCCGACCGCCCAAGTGTCTACGTAAACCTGAAGGTGGTTTCTGCTTTATACCTTGTTTTTGAGTTTGTTCACTTGGCCAAACGATTGCTAGCGCGGTGCTTACGTTTCATTGTTCTTCACCTGCATTGGAAACTCGGTCTAGCCATAATGCCTTCAGGAAAGACGCCTATCGCGTTGCCTATTCACTGGCACAGGTGAACACCACTGGTCACGGTGATCAGCTTTGACGGATCTCGTGTTCTGTTTTTAAAAATGAAGCCGGGCGTAAATAGTTGCAGTTGTCGTCAGTTGACTGAACCCGTGAATCTCCGTAACATAAATATTTATTCCACACCCTGTTAAAGGACGGAAATCTTTCAGTTTCGACAGATGCGGTTGTCCCTTGGTAGGATGAAATACTTTCCGAACGGCTCTGCAAACCTCTTCGTTGCTAGGTCCTGAGTGGGGTTTGCGTATCGTTTGTTCGTCTTCTGGACGACAAACTATCGACCTCGTCCCTCAGATTGAAACAAATGGCGTCTCAAGACGGATAGATACTGTTGAGAGAGACTACGGTTACTTCCCTCGGGATGTCGCTCCCATGAGCTTGGCTGTATCTGAGGTTTTAACCACGTTAAGTATCCTTTCCGGTTGAGCACAGTTCACGTATTGAGTTTCCCAATTGTTTGAAGCCCCTAATAGACGGATTTTTCTAACGAAAGATTCAGGAACTGGTCAAGGTGTTTCGAGTTTGCGTTCTTTCCCTTCATTTAGCTTGCAAAGCGCCAACGCTCGTGAACACCACTTACTCGATCAGAAGCGAGTTGTAACCAGGGTTTTCGGATTGTTCTGACCGATTTTCGGTGCTCATGCGGTCCGATCCCCCCCGCAATAGTATAATTTCCGGTCACCAGTACTGCTTTTTGTCTCGGTGTGACCCGGTTGCTAGCTACATAAGCGTGTTTTCCAAAGTGAACTATGATAATGTTTTCCACATTCCAATCACTTTTGCTTCCTATATTTTCCGCCTGTTGCGTAACCGGTGTTTTAAAATTTCAGCATTCATTTTATTCCGTCTCATTTATTGCAAGTGGTCTGTTTCATTTTCATGCGCATATTTATTTGATCTGTTTTTACTTTTATGCTTCTGTCAGGTCTTTTCTCGCCGTGCCCGAGTCCACCTGGTCTGCTTTCTTACCAACCGCTCAATCCATGGTTCGTCTATTTCGTTCTGGGAAGAAGATCTGCTCTTCAGGCGATTCCGAATTGGACGGTCAGTCGACACCGGACAAGGTGAATGGTACCAAAGCGGCCTCTGTCAAACCGGTGCTACGTGCGCTGTGTTGTGCACTGGCCAAACTCAGTGGGAAAGATGGTGCTATCGAGTCACGGTCGGTGCTCGATTCACGTCCCGGAATGACCTCGTATCGCTTGGACCTGAGTGAGCCGGCGATGCGCAAGGGTGAGGCCTACAACACTTTGCGTCAGCGATTGCCGGACACAGTGGTGGACCAGTTACGGAATGTGATGTTCATCAAGGGTCGCCAGGTGTGTATCTCTGTCGGTATATATGTGTTTACGGAAAACTGCATGGTCTTGTGAGAAATATGCTTCCGATTCGGTGGTTTAAGCAAATTCGTGTGTCACGCGACTGGAGAATCTCATTTGCTTTTCCACCCACCAAACTTAATGTGAAATATCAGTGACCATTTGTAAACCACGTTCTCAGAGGGAGGATAAACATAATGGTGTTAGCTCGTCTTCCCCAGCTATTTTCTTGTATTTGGTGCTGAAACGTAAAACAAAGTTGGTGACGGAGCCATGCACAGTCATAATTACAACTTTGCAATCAATTTTGAGACGTAGGATTTCAACGCATACTAGGTCTCCACAGGCACGACGTGATGTTGCACTGGGCGATTAAAGCTGTAATGTTTTGCTTTCATGTTTAAGTAATGTATCCAGCTACATACACGGAATAAGTGCTTAAGATACCGCATTGTGCGAGTCTGGTGGGCCAAGCGGTATTGAGGTTAGATGTAGCGCTCTAAGTTGAAGCGGTCACGTACCGTAGATTGCGGTTCTTTGGACATCTTGTATTTCGCTTGCCACCGACAAGATTCCTCCGTGTGCGATATTTGTGGAGTCAGATGATCAATGAGAGGTCAAGTGTAACAAAGTTATGCTTCAGATGAGGACATTAGACTCCGGATCGTGGGACTCGGTGATCTAGGTGGTATTAAGAGGGTTTCTCATTGAGAAGCCATAGTTAGCGAGACGGGGGATAAAAATGTGTGTCGCAAATCTGTGAAGCGCATGTCTGTTCATTTGCCACACATTTGGTGTTTTTCTACTACACATATCTGTGTAAACCCCGTATTCACGAAAATCTCCCATTGAGTGACGGCATCCACCAACCTGAGCCCCGGACTTGAAGTAGCGAGATACGCGAGTCCCCACCAGGCTATTCGTGGTATTGAACCGGACGATAACCTAGCTGCCTACCACCAAATTGGGGCGGTGGTGGCGGGGCTCGAACATGGGGTCCGAAGCACGCCAGCGACGGCGACTAAACTGCTGCGTCACGACCACCCGTAACGAAATTCAGATTATGCTTGACAGTTTGGATATTAGATTTTACTCATGTTCTGTTCTTTTTGATGACTTTTGCTGTTCAAAACACAGTACTCATCATTTGTTTTGTGTGATTTCCTCAAGAACAGGTGTATACTACTCAAAAACAAAAGTACTGTCTGCTATTCTTCTCAAATCATTATTTTAGATTGTTTCCCAATGAGGTTACGGCAATATCTTTTAATCCAACTACTAAGTTGAAAATTTAATCTACCGTTTTGAAAGTGATACAAGAAATGACCTTTTCTTTTCACTATTTTTGGCAGTATGCACCAAGGATTGTGGAGATTTTTCTAAATATGCACATTTCTATTTCTGTCATCGCTTATGCTTACTAACCTTGTTGATTGTTCTCTTCCTGCCCAAACAGGGTTTCGTTTTTGACGTACCATCCGAGCTGGACTCAGAAATCGCTAGTTTATGGGACAACGCAGAAAACAATGCCCAGCTGTCTCTTCTACATGAGGTACCTGAGCTGGAGGAGACAAATAACGGAGATGGTTACAGCAACGGTTATTCATCACCCTCGGGTGGTTGGCGTGGCGGTGGTGGTGGTCGTGGTGGCTCACGCTGGAACAGTGGTCGCGGGTTCAGTCGTGGCAATGGTGGTGGTGGTGGTGGTCAGGGCCGGGGTCGAGGTTTTGGTCCACGTCAATCGAATGGTGGCAACGGTCTGAGTTTCAAACGCGCTTTCTCTCAGTCTGGGAACAGTTCGGTCCCCGAGAAACGTTTCCGCTCCACGGACGGTTCATTATCGTCCCGCGGGGCATTGGTTATGGGTGGCGTACGGACCGTTTTCGGTGATTGAAAGCACTTGTTCTGTATCAGTTTATCAATCCACAAACACTTCTCAGAGCTATCTGCTGTACAGTAAATTCTCTTGGCGCCGTTTTGTGGACATGAAATCTATTCTGATTGTAACTGGTTGTTCTCATTAGTTGATTGCATATTTGACTTGGGTTATTTACGTCGAAATAACCAGGTTTTCCTTCGGAAGTTCGCATAGTGGAGGGTTGCGGTCATCAGTCTGTGCATCATAACTAGAGAGGTTTGTTCAGTTGCCATAGCTGATGGAGAACGATGACTGATGCAATAGGATAACGAAAACCTTGTGATTTGAGGTCACATATGGCCGAGTTTTTGATGATCTTACGAGGAGCCTATCACCGTTTCGAATCCACCCATTCTCTGTGATTAGCAAAGTCCTAAGAAAGGAAATTAATTTTTGCCATTTGATTCATTTATGAGAATATCATGAGTATTAAGTTGACTTGACGATGGTTGTCTTCGGAGAAAAGATAAGTCAGCTTTATGGATATCCAAAACTGCAGCTGCCCACGTCCAGCGGTTGGCAGCAAGCTCTGTAACCCAGTCTGTCTTCCGTAGTCGGATCGGGAACCAAAGCGCTCCTAGTCTTCGCGGACCTCAGCCAAGTTTTCTGGTGTCCACTGCGGATACGGTGACAGTTTATCTATGAACTCAGTGCTGGGACAGTTTTTATCAGATCCGTGGCAAGGCTTGTGCGGCACGCGTATCAACCACTGTAGATGTCTTTATCGCACCAAGATGCGAAGGCGTATGCTATTAGAACAACAACTTCGTTCGAAATTTGTTCACACCATCTGATTCCTAGAAAATTTCTTAGGCTCAGATAGTGGAGTACTTGCGGTTGTTGGTGGTTTCCATGGCCAAATTTATCAGGGATACCGTAAAACCGGATGGAATGCCGCGGAGAACTCCCATACCTTGGACGTTAGCTTGGTTTCTTTTTTTGCTTCGTAGCTAAGCTCATGCGCCTCGATGGGATTCGAACGTTCGTGGAAGCTACTTATGTGCGCTGCACCCATGGCGTGCAGAATACTTACTGTTGGGATCGTTTCACATTAGGTTACTCACCCATGGATATCGATTAGCATGTGAGCTGGTCGCCCATGTGGATGTTCCTGATAACCTACTGGAGTCCATCGGGTGAAGCAGAGCAAATTGGCGGAATCTGGTTGTTTGACTGAACTCGAGAAGTTTTTCATGCAATCCGATAGTGAATAGATAGGCAGTCTCAATGACATTTGATCCCGAATAATGTGGCAAAAATCACATCCACTCTGACGACGCTAAGTGTCATGCAATTCATCAGCAATTTTATTTTTACGTCCATTGGATTTAACGTCTGCCGGTGATCGATTTATGATACCCTGGACGAAACCGGTTGTCTTCGATCGGACATCGTTTCTTTTTGTCAGTAGTCCATTTCTGCGCACTGAGTTCCTTAGTTCTCAAAAACAAGCACATTATTGTTGTTGTGTTTCTGTGGTCACAGTGTATGTATACACCACTCCGGGGCATAGAAAGAGATTAAAGCAGACAATTATTGGTCAGTCATTCCAACGGGGATTAGTAACGACTTCCGTCTCAGCTGTCAACTGGAGACCGGAAATGCGGTCTGTGCAGTTGCAGTTCTCTGTTGTTTCCCATATTCCGCATTGTCCCCCTCTTTTCCATCCCTCTTGTCCAGTGGTTGTTGATACAAGCATAGACAGACTGGCCTACACTCCACTGGGCTGAGCGTGGCCATGTGGCAGTTCGCCTAGCCCCCTCTCTCCGCGTGCGGAGAAAACCATAGCAACCGACATGGAGACTGGAGCTTTTGTTTCCTTGGTTTTGAGTGAAGTTCATGTGCAGTCCAAATCCACCGACAGCCCCCGGGGTATGAAGCGAAACCGGAAACGGTGTATTGAACGTGCAACCGCGAAGCGAAGTGAACGATGGGTGATCAAACTGTGCTCTTATCTCGCTCCTGTACTGAGCCACAAATGTACTCAGAAATAAGAAGGAACCCTTAAATGTATCGAGTGTTACACATGCGCATATTGCGTGCAGTTTGCTGATTGTGATCAATCCCGAAACACTTCTTCATTTGTCAGACGGGATTGATTTGATTGGTCCTGGTGAATTCGTCGCCTGCGCTGTGCACGTTTCTTTCGGGATTGTGATTAAACGGGAACGTTGTTTTAGCTAATCAGAAAGTGCTTACTGCTTAATGTCTCTTTTGTTCACCTTCGCTATTTGAATGTATATGATATCGCCGTCAGGGCAAAGGTTCGCGGTTTATTGACAAGGCACAACTTCTTCATCTGAGGTTCTATCAACTATGATAATGATAGTTT